GAAAGGGACATGTCTGAGCACAAAGGGAAAGCAGGGGGACTCTTATGTGCTTTGGAGACTTTAAAAAGTCTCTAGAGGCTCCTGGACTGGATCCAATCCAAAAGGGGGTGCAGCTGTACCACTGTACCCGCTCTGGATCCACCCCGGGGGTAGTTGCTATAGTATGTACTATTACAGTGTCTTGCCACTAGATGGTGGAAGAACTGGTAATAGCCTGTTTAAATTGAGCAAACAGCTAGTCTGAGAGCAGACAGACATCTGCATCCAATAAAAGAACTCATCTCAATAGAGTTTTATCCCACTTTCCCTTAGGGTAATTCTACAACAGATTAAAAAAAAAAAAAAAAAAATCACCCCAGATTAAGGGTTTAATATCATATGTCAAACAACACTGCTCTGTATGCTGGGCTGGGCCCCAGAACCACCCTGCAACACTCATCTGACCTGATGGGGAGGATTTGGGCATCACTGTTCAAAAACATCTTTACTACTGAGTTTTACAACTGTATGTTGTTGATGAAAATTCTTTTAAAAAAAATAATGCGAACGCGTTCTCAGAATACATACTTTGTGGCAAGTAGCAAATAGCACCTAGTTTTTCAGAGGAACACTCAGAAGTTTTCCAGAACCCATCAGTATCCAAAAACACACAGTCTTCACTTGTTTCTTCATCTTGTTCAGACCAGTGACTGAAACTAATGTGCTTTCCATCTGACCAGTCATAATGTTTTTCATCCTGGAATTATACCAATAAAATAAGAGGTTTTTTGTTGGGGCAGGGGGACTGGTAATCCAAATGACATGATACTATATTCATACAGGGTGAAATGCAGCATAAACAAGAGATGTCAGCAGTTCACATTGATGTTCAATGAGAAGATGCAGAGCATTAGCAGCAGATTTTGCAACTTACTCTAGTGCGCATAATATAAGGAACCTTGTACATTCAGTTTTGCAATTAACTGCATTATCTATGATGGATGGCAAAGGATAATACTTTGATACTATGTTACCCTTGTTGCTGAAGCCAGGCAAAACAGAGGTCTAAATGGTATGATTTGCATCTGGCATTAGCTGAAGGCACAACTCTTTGCTCAAGGAAAATCTGTATCAATTCTTAAAAGGTGCTTTCCCTTCCAATGTTTTTCTATATTGAGTGTTTAAATATGTATTTTTATTTAATATCAAGTATTTTAAAGGATTTGTATCTGAGCATATTTAAAAGTTTTCTTCAGTATTTCAGTCCTGTCCCCAATTAGAAATAGGCCCCGTGAACCTTTTTTTGGCCGTGTTTAGAATTCTAGTGCTGCTATCACAAGCTCTGCTGGCACTTTCTCAGGCATGATCTGCTAGGAAATAATACCCCTTTATACAACCCTTGCTGTTTGGGCCCAATTCAAATTGACACAATAGCAGAAAGGTAGCGTGCTTCAGTGTTGTATATACCAGGAAGAGGCATTTGAACCCCATTTAAAAGGTCACTCACGTAAATGGTAGGAAAAAAGGTTGCAAATCAATTTTAGTCATTATAAAATATAAATAAGAACAGAGATGTTTGTTTTTGTAAAAATTCCTAATATATTTGACACATCAAAATAGTCTTCTCTTTTCTATTTTTTTCTGTGAATACTCTACAGACAGCTACAGAAATAGCAGCGCTACAAGGTCACAGATACCAAGCAAGATCAGAATGAGTGGGGAAATTATGTTTTGTAACAATGTTTGAAGCTTATTTTTTACTTGTTTGTTTGTCCCTATTTAACTTAGGCCACTAAAATACATTTTTGAGAGAAATTCTGTCAAAGATAAAATACTGAACTCCAAATCCTTTACTTAACAGCTGAGAAAGTTCCAACTCCACACTGAAGGTATATCTACACTGCCTCTAGATTACATTGGATGCCATGTACCCATCAATAAACTCCATCTTGACCGTGTTTACTGGTATATGCCTAGCACCACACTAAGGCAGCTACAATACATTGGTTTCAGGGTGTAGTGTGCATGAATTGGCATGTTGTGCATGTCTGTGGCACTCCCTGATGTGATATGTAGGTGGTAAAGGCAGGCCTGAGATCTCTAGAAGACCTTTAGCAATCAAGGTAGAGATGCCATTTGATGCTACTGACCCTTCTGAGGGTCAACAAGCTGGGAGAAAAAGGGTTAAGAATCTTTCAGCACTTATTTCTCCATCATAAAGAAACAAACAAAAAAAGGATATTAGCTTCATTTAAAACAAAACAAACAAAATCATTTCAGTTTTAAATGAAGCTTTCAGAATACCTTTCAAAGAGTTTTTGCAGTTACTTTGGGATGTTATGTGCCATCTTTCTGGTTTTCCTCTTCACAAGAGACATTTGGCTGGCCTTTCTTAGCTTTGCTCCAGAGCTGCTGTTAAATACCCACTAACAATAGATGGGTAAAGATGGTAGCAAAAACTCTCACTAGAAGGGTAGTAAAACATTTGAACAGGCTACCAAGAGAGATTGTGGAATCTCTATCTAGAGGTTTTTTTGACCTCTAAAAGATGATCTAGTTGGGGATGGTCCTGCTTTGAGGAAGGGGTTGGACTGGATGACCTCCTGAGGTCCTTTCCAACCCTAATTCTCTATGATTACAGTGCTTTAATACAACATTTTTCTGCATCTTAAAATAAGGGAACAGTCTGCTGAATCAGGCCATTAGGGGGAGTTGACTATACACCTTAGAGAAGTGACAATTAAGATACAACTCTGAGCATCAGGGCTTGTTGATCTTCAACATCCAAACAGCTCTCTGCGAGTGGAAATGGATGCCTCTGGTAGCATCTATTGTTTAAAACTAACCCAATCACTTTCATTTTTTTTTGTTTGTTTGTTTCTACAGCCATTCCTTTCCTACTCTACCTAGACATAAAGAAAGATTCTAAATAGGATTTGAGGGAAACAGAAAACTTACGTCAGTGCTGGAGAGTCCAATCCAGAGTGGGTAATTGTAATGGGCAGCTTGGGCAGCAAGAAAGGCCTGTTGGTACTGATCTGTGATGCTAACCAGCATCATGTTATTCTCCCTGCACTTCATTACTGCATCATACCAGGACAAATTTTTCAGAATTATTCTGTACTGGACATTTTGATAGTTCAATGTTTCATTAAGGGCTGGCAGTGTCAGGTTTTCAGCATGATCTAGGTCTAAATCAAGAAATCCAGTCATTAGTACAATACATTTTGGTTCCCAGTTTATTCCATAATTACAGTGGCTAAACCCCTTTCCCTCCTTTTTGGGATTAACAAGATAGAATAATCAATTTAGGCTGCAGACTGTTCTCATAATTATTGTTAGGAACAAACAATTAGATCACAATTGCTAGAAAGTGTGTTTGGGAGGGGGAACAGGGTAAAGTGCTCTTTAATATAACGTTTTTAGCCTTGTATATGTGAGCTTGGCTCTGTGGCTTTCCAGATTCATTTAGGTTTCAGTTAAAGTTTAAAGTTATTAAAGAAAAAGCATAGTGTTTGGATTAATTTAATATGGTAGCCTTTGCAGGACTGGTCACAGGTACTGTGACAATGAATACGGGCAGCAAGCTCTGAACACTGATGCAAACATATCCAACTCAAGACTCATTGGATCTGTGTTTATATAAATTTAATGGGCAGTAACTCTTGTATAGTAAACCTTAGCTCTCCAGTCTGCAAGAAGAGTAGCCCCAAAGGGCACGGCTGCAGTCTTACAGGTAGGAAGTAATGGATTTTATCTTAAGAATGTGCACTCAAAATTTCCTGCACAAAACTAGTTGACTTGGTTATTGCACAGGGCGGGATGAAATTCACCAGAGTTCTAATTATGGAATCTCGGACTGAACTGCATTGCAAGTAAATGCACACAATTAAATAATAATCTTATGCAACTAATTCAAAAAGCAAAATTTACATGGGTGAAGAATGGAACTGGAGAATGTGGATTTAATAAACCCCACAATAGTTTATAGACAGACCTCAGGTCTATATTTGGCCCTATAGTTTTGTCAGAGAATCATTAGTGTTTAAAATATTGGTGTCTCAGGCACACAAAAGCTCACCAGGGATAAAAATGACTCCATATAAAAGGGACTGATGGATGGGCTGACAGGCCATTTCCCAAAACACACACACACAGAGCCATGCTATTAATTTGATGTTTATGCACCATTTGCAGCTTTCAGTGGATTAGAGATGTGACATGAAAGAAACAGATTATTTGAAGTAGTTTGTGACTGTTGCCAAGTACTTTTATTTAGTAAACTACCTCCAAAAGGGAACAGGAAGACCAAGAGGCTTCACACACTTAAAGGTGAATGGTGAAGGGTTAATGCGGAAGGTATGCATTTCCCAAATAATATACTGTTTACAAATTTAATTAGCATAAGATTTTGAAACAGTCATTTTGTATCCAGAATCCGAAGGAATCTGAGCTGCTGATTCCTTTGTTCCTCTAACACAATAAATTACATCACAACCATAAACGTTAAGGCCATGAATGTCCTGGCACAGTGGAAAGCAACTTCCCTTGCTAAGTCAACCTGAAATGTGGCCAGACTCAGCTACAGTCTCTGCACTCAAGACCCAACTGACTGCTCCTTCCCTGCATCCTTGTGGGCTTAGGGCCTCAGCAACTCAGAACTGGCCAGACACAGCAGGGATAGTACTGCAAAATGGAAGGCGCTTCTTTTGCATCCCATGTCTCATTTTTAGAGTTAAGTACAAGTAGAACCTGCAATCATTCTTTTCTTCCTCTAAGTCCTTCAAGCATTTTAAATGTCCAGAGTCTTTTTAGATCATTTTGGGGTATATTTACAGCAGGGCCCATAAAGGGTTAAGCTGCAAACTCCAGGCTCCTGCCCTGCCACCACTCTCCTAGTTGCTCTTCCCATAGTGGGAGACATCCATGTAGTATGTGGCTCTGGGGGCCCATAGTCTGCTCTGGTGTCGGGGATGCACTCACTGGTATGGCCTGTGGGGTATTTAGTTTCCAGTTGCTTAGAAGTTGGACTGCCCTGGCCTGTCGGGGGCTTCTCAACATCATACAGTTCTTTTCAGCAAGATTAGTTAACTGGGTAGAGCACTGTATTATGCTACTTCTTTATACTTTCTTAATTTATACATAATTTTTTAAAAGGCACATTTATTTAGGAAAACGCATCCAAAGTGGGTCTATTACATATTATGTCCGTAGCTGTTGAACTACAACTATTAAGCTATAACTATTCTAGACAGGGAATCTGCTCCAATCCCAATAATCTTTGGCAAGCTACCTATACTGCTACACTGGAGCAGTCTTCCGAGTATTCCTAATGAGGAAAATCTCACACCTCTGGAGCTGACCCCCTACTTTAAGTCTGGGCAAGCATTACACATGCAAACTGTGATTCTTCTTGTGATACTCCTTGTCTACATAACCATTTGCATTAATACGTTTCACACATGGCAGATATCAGGACTATATCCAAGCGGAGATGATTCCTAAAATTACTGTATTAATACTGTTGAAGCATGGAGCCAATTTAGAGTGGTCCTACAAATACACACCTCATGTGCCTCATGCTAACAGCAGGGCCCTGGTGATCCTCCTTTATTCTCCTGCAGCAGTTTTGCTGGAGCTACATTACCAGGCCCTCTTAAGGTCACACCTTTTATCCCTAACATAGGGGTTCTCTGCTGTGAAAGGGGACTACAAAAAAGGGAAATTCTGTAGTGAGAGAGATGTATTTTCCCAAGGTCTACCATAGTATGACTTTTTCCAGCAAGAGCTCAATCAGTTCCCACAGGGCTCTCGTACGTCAGAAGGGACAATATCCATGTACAGAGGATGGTCACAATCAGACCTTAAGCTAAATTCAGACTTACCCACTGGCTTCTGGCATACGCACAAAAAGTGTGTGTCACCACATGAAGTGAAATTCCACGCTCCAACACGCATCGTTTTGGGATCATTGAGTACTACAGTACACTGATTGTTCATTTCCTCATCAAACAACTGAAAACCAGAAAAACTCATTGATCTTATGTACGATACAAGCATATATTTGTGGAGAACATAAAAGAAGGTCCATTACTAAGTATGGAACCATTTAAGAGGTATTAAAAAAGCAGTAGTAGAATATATAGTTAATTATTTTACAAATGTTACCATGTTGCTAGATTGTTCCTTCAGCAGTAATTTCTAAGTAAAACATATACAAACACATGGAATTATGTTAAATTATTTAAAAATTTTAACATCAATTTAAAAATCGGTGTTAAATCAGCTGGGTTCTACTCCATTTCTTTACTGTTCTGTGGATAATGCAGCCCACAATATGATGCCTACTGGTTAGCTAACTCATGTATTCTGTATAAGACTTCCCTTTGCTGTCTGTGTTTTTATGGAATGTGGCCTTTTCACTACACATTGAAAGTGATGTAACAAAAGAAATCTCCTCTTTAAATCTTCTTAAACTTATTATTGTTCACAAGATAATGTCCAAAGAAATGCCAAAACCAGACTCATTGCTGATCCTCTTGTTTGTCACTTAATACACACTTTTTTGGTTTGGGTTTTTTAAATAAATATCCTGTTTTGATGCAATAAGACAAAATATTAGCAGGATTCGCATGTTCAAAGAAAGCACAACTTACATTAATTGGAATCCTCCTTTGCTTTCCTTTCAGCAATGGATGAAAGTTGCTGTATACCAATTTACTACCATCTACCCATTTATTTTCCTTTGTGCTGTACAAAATCTGCAAACCAATCCAAACGTTTTTTGGCATATCAGGAAGCAAAGATGTTATAAAATCTGTTGGGCAGAAAAGTAAATATTTATGTATTATAGATTAGACAGGTCTCATAAACCTTTCAAAACAGCCTGCATAAATAATAATGCAACCTCCATGTCTATTAACTTTGCATCCCTCCAGGGGCAATGCATAGAGGATGCAAAGGTGTGCACATGCACCCCCTGAGAGTGCTGGTGCACCCCCTGTCAGGCCATGCTCCCTGTTTAGCCAGTGGACAGGGTGGCATGCAGGAGCACCACCAGTGCCCCCTTGCGAGTGCTAGCCACTGGAAGTGGCTGTGGGAGTTCCAGAAGCGGTGCGGCTGCTTTTATGGTGAGTGAGATTGGCTGTGGGTCCCCCTGGTCAGTGGGATCAGCCTCCGGGGGACACCCCCCCTACCCTTGGTCATTTGGATCGGCCGCCGGGGGGGACCTCCTCCTCGTCAGTGGGATCAGCTGCTGGGATGCACCCCCCACCCCCGGGTTGCTGACTGGTGTCAGGGGAGGCACATGCCTCCCTGACTCGACGCACCAGACCCATGCACCCCTCCCTGGTCCTTGTAAAAATAATAATAGCTATTTTAGTAGCATGTTAACTATTTTGCAGTTCTGTCATTAACCTCACTTCCATATCCAACAAGAACATTATTTTTAAAAAATCATTTGAGAGGCCCAGCATTCTAAAAGATTATAGATGCGCATGCTTGCCTCAACATTCTAAGCTGCAGGATGGCAAGAATTTAATTTGCCATTCCACCCAAAAGTCGGAAGGTGCCTCCTCACAATTGTGTAGGGCTTTTTATTGATTTCTATAGAAGCATCAAAAATGGACCCCTCTGAATGGTGAAGAAACTCCTGCTTCCCACCCCTACTCTTTCCCACTGGTACGCTTGTAAACGCCACTTCTTGGATCTTAGCCTGATTTCTGCAAGCCAGCAGTGAAAGGAAGGATTGAGGGGAGTCCGTTGCAATTAAGATTGGCTCCACTCAGAAATCCAAAGCCAATCGCCCTCTGTGTTTCTTTTCACAAGGCTCAGTGCTGGCTTCAGCAAACTTGCAGGAAAAGGGCACTAAATCTGTCCAAGATTAGGAAATAAGACTTGGGTTAGACTGGTGTTAGTTAAAAAAAGTGTGTCAGAACTACCTATGTTCAATTCATTAGCTAATCAGACTAGCCTTAATCCCTTCTTCCAAACTAAACAAAACTAGTAAAAGGTTAAGGTCTCCTGGATTAGTCATTCGAAGGCTGGCTAGACTAGTAGGGATACCCAGCTACAGAATGCAACACTGTACTTATGGGATGAAATGGGGACTGGCAGAAGGGGGCGACTACCAAAATGCTGAAGTTTCTTGCCTGAATCACATCTTGGCTACAACCCTAACTTGCCTCCAGAACTAATTAACTATGCTAAACCCTTCTTTCAACTGAAATGTACCATCCATCCACCCAAAAGTTGTTCAAAACATGAAACAATCGTGCTAAAATATTACTGCAATACAGCATGTTTTTTCCTAGGGGAAAAGTTCTGAATCATGCTAGGCCCAGTCATTTTTATCTCAGTGTGGGAACAACCCCTTTCTGTTGCAGCAATTCTCATTGCTGTCTCCACATTGTTACTTATGGTGTGCCCTGCACTCTGCATGCCACTGCTCTGAGATTGCTCATGTATAGAAACAAACAAACAAAAAACACACAAACAGTGCTGTGCTTGGTGCAGAGATGTGACATAAGCCACTATCATATTTACTCAATTCTAAGATAGGATTTTCCCCCTTTATTTAACATAGGGGGGAAAAGCCCTTCATCTTAGAATTGCATACAAGGGTGGTGGGGTGTGGGGCAGGAAGCTGCTGTAGCCTGGATTCCAGGCTGTACCCAGGGTTGGGGCTGTAGCTGCAGCTGTTCCCTGTACCCCCACAATCATTTCTCCACCCTGCCATCCCCCCTGCCTCTGCAGCCTCTTCCCTTCATCTCCCCCACCCATGCAGCCTTTATGCTCCTGCCTTTTCCTCTCCTTCCTCATCTTGCCCTTATTCCACATGGGCAGGCTCTGTCCATGCTGCAGCTTAGGGCACTGAACATGACCCAGCTTGGTCCTGTAGCAGCAGCACGCAGCCTATACAACTGCCAGAAGAAAACCACCTTTCACATGGTTACAGAGACTGGGCTGGGTCCATGCTCAGTGCCCCAGACTACAACAGGGATGTGTGGAGCCTGCAGGTGCAGAGCAAGGGTAGGGGGATGGGGTGGGAAGGACAGGAGAGCAAGAAGCAGAGGCTGTGGATGGAGCAGAGACAGAGGGGGGTGCCCCAAGACTGCGCGGGGGGGATGACGACGCACAAGTGAGAGGGGCAAGCACAAGCAGGGGACAAGCTACTTGACCTCCTCAAACCACCTGTCCCCCCGCAGCAGCGGAGAGGATGAATGAAAGACGACCCTCAAATAATTAGATTCTACATAGAGAAAATTCTACCAATTTATACATTTTCTATGTACAGAATCTCATTACTGGGTGGGTCATCTTGGATTCGAGTAAATACAGTAATTTCTTAGCTTCGGTTTCCTAGCATGTAGCTTGTGCGGTACATCTGTAGTCACTTACTTGCAGTTCATACGAATGCTTTTCTCTTCACAGTATTCACTTCAATGAGGTTTTAACTTCCCAAGTAAAGCATGGGGATTCCTTCAATCATTGCCCTTCTATTCCTCATAAGTCTCTGATTAGACTCTTAACAGTCTCCAATTCCTTTCACATGGCTACAGTTATAAGTGACAGCTGGCATATGCTGGTGCTCTCAATGATACTTAGAGACTTCTCAGGTTCTTGGGTTGACTGGGCTGACTCTGATGAACAGTGTGAAATAGAACTCCAGATCTGAAGCCAGGAAGGAATTTTTCTCCAGCTCAAGACTGTTGTGGGGTTTGTTTGTTTTTATTTGCCTTCTTTCATAGCATGAGTGCTTCCTGTTCCTAGAATCCTCTGATTTCTTGCCTCTGCAGTGGTATAGCACTGGTAGAGCCTTTGTCTCCCTACTCGTTACCTATGGAACACTGAAAGGTGCATACGGGGCTTTGTGACTTATGCAAGATATGCAAGAGTGTGTCTTGCATCTTGATGTACAAGATGGGCCAGAGTACATAATCTTGGGGACCAATGGCTCTTTTAGAAAGCAGGACACTGAACTCAAGGGTGTAGGAGGCCCCTTCCAGGCCTTTGTTCTTATACTGATCTTTCAACAGGTAGTATTCTTCTGGCACAGCGAAAGCAAGGAGGCATTATTTACAGGTTTTGATTTTGCCCTGAAATTTAGAGTTATTTCAACAAACTCGAGATAACTGAATGATGTTATAATTAGTTAACACTGGTACACAGCTTCTAGTCTGCTGCATAATTTGCTGTAGTCCTTATATATAACTGGCAGAAGAATTTGCCCTATTATTTTGATCTAAAGGGCTGCATACTGTAATAGGCCTCCAATTCAAGAGCATACCTTGGTCAGCTTGGCTTGTGATTGATGGAAGAGTGCCTCCAAAAGTTTCACACATTTCATTGGCAGCTTTAAATGTTAAATATCTACGTTTGAGCTTCAGAAAACACTGCAAAATAAACATTGTAAAAGCTTACACAGTGTACTGAGATTTCACCTTCTCTTTGACATTTACTGTACTTTAGAACTATTTTATAAAACAATGACTTTAAAACCCCCAAGCCTCACTTCTAATTTCTGTGAGAAACTGTTCGAAAAACAATGACAGATTAGTTCAGATTCAAATTCAGGAAGGTGCCTATGTGTAGTAATCCACTGAAGTCTCATTCAGTCTGGGACATATTGTTCAGAAGTTTCAGTTTTGTATTTAGTAGTATTTTAAAACAGTGCATTTGGGCAAGTGCTACTCTGAGGATCTCTCTAAATTAGTCATGGTTTTTTAGTTTATCAAACTTAATTTTTAAAGTCTTGTGTGTTCTCCTTCACTGTTTTCTACACAACTTTGAACTCTGAATCTCCCTCTCCTGAGCAGTGTAATGTGTGTACATCAGAGGCATCCCTTTACCAAGTACAGAAGCAGTCAATATAACAGGATTGAAAACTGATGCACAGCCCTACTACACTCCAGTTTTAGCTACAAGGAAAAAGAAGTTTCTTTGCTTTGGAGAGTTACAAAGTAACAGCTAAAACTTGAAAAAATGTACTTCATGTTTCAGAGACTTTGATTCCACAAGTAAACATCATGACCACTTTTGATTTTCTAAGATGAAGACACAATGATACTTTTTTGGCCAAACTATAACCAAACTGATTTTAACCACGTATTCTTAAAAAGCAGTACTCTGAAATGCAAGTCATAAATATTAAGGTATTTTTTTTTCCATCTAGTGACTCCTATGTGAAATTCTATGAAATATGAACTTTCATTTCTACCTAGGAGAACTTTTACAATCTTTTCTCTGATGTCTGATGAAAGGTGTTTGTGCCCAAAAGCTTGAAATTAATTTTTTTTTTTTTTTTGCAAAAATCTTCTTGGTCTAATTAAAGATATCACCTCTGTCCACGCGCCCTGATTGCGTTTTCCTCTAAACCAATACAATTACAACCTGGATACCAGTAATAAATGCTTTCCTCTTACTTTCCCTTTACCTTGTTCCGAAATTGAATCCAGTCTTCAGGACAGCCTCCCTTTGTTGGGCGATATTGTGGATCATGTTTCTCCAGTAAGGATGCATTATATTTTTCACAAATGAAGGGCAGTTTCAAATGACAGTTTGTTGGGTAGCCTATAGAAATACAAATATCATATTTACTTAGTATTTCCCCCCCCCAGTCAGCATGGGGAAAAAAAAGCCTGGTCTTGGATTCACATACAAGGAAGACAATTTTTTTAATTTAGTTATTTTTGAACTGTTGCACTGAGCATGACTACCTAGATTTTTTCGCAACCCCCACCCCCGCAAAAAAGTCAATCAATCTTTACCTCCAACACCCTGCCAAGCGGCCACACTAAAAACCCGCTACACAGTTTTACACCATGTGTCCGCATGCCCGCACACCCATACCTGTACCCCCACCCACTGCCCTCCTCAGAGGGCTTGCCCCTAAAAAAAAGTCTATGCCAGACCCCTCTCCACCAGATAAGGTTGGTCATTTCTTTCCCGTTGTCCTCTTTTGTCTTCCTGTAGCACCAGTATATTTCACTTAGTCCCATTTTAATACAGTCCTTGACTGTGGAGTCTGACTCTTATGACCTATATTGGACAAACATGTTATTATAGTGCCCAATGAGTATCATCCCCCCGAGTACAGACTGTTTCCCAAGTCATGGTGAGCCACTACACCAAATACATTTTTACTTCCCCTTCACTCCCACAACTGAGCTGCATTTTTTATTTTCCATTTCTAATGATTCCTGTTTCTTCACCAGCCTTAAATGTCTGGCAAGCATCAGGAAACAGGCACCAAACAGTTCACCCAGAATCCCTCTCTTGTCCCCTCTCTCAGCCTGGCATATATAACCAGTTGTCCATGAAGTAAAGTTGGACTAGGTTGCCCTATGCCTCACCTGCATATATTTTTGGAGGATCCCAGGACTCATGACAAGAACACCTGGTTCCAGTCAGGAGTGGGAGCTAATCAGCACATAGTCTTCTAGTCCCCATCCTCCTCCTCCCCCCCACCCCGCAAAGATCTATCTGGAGTACATACATATACTGTGCAGTGCTGAGCTGTGGGGTCACCATGGCTTGAAATGCTGTTAATTCTACTAGGGCTCAGCCCAATCTAATATATGGTAAATCATGAGCCTTTTGGCTTTAGACTAATATAATTTATAGTTTGTATTAAAAAGCAGCAGCCAAAGTGCTATTTAAAAACATGTTTAAGGAGTACCTGTGCTAAAATTTGCAGCAGTTTCAAAATAGGTAAAATAAGTCAATTCTGGATGAATTAAGTCTCTGGGTACTATATGCAAATTACAACAGCTATGTTTATTTCAAGATTATTTTTTTTTTAAATTTGCTCCTCACTTCCATGTCCTCAGAGAGAACAGGGTCTGAGAGAAAGGATGGGGAGGAGGGCTGTAGGGGGAAAAAGCTGGGGGTGGGGCAGAGGGCAGAAGCCAATGACTCCCCTCAGATTTATTTTTTCTGCTGTAGCAGTAAGAGAGGGACAAATTCAAGGCAAACCTTCAATAATCGCATTCTATCCTTGGAAAGTTATAACGAATTTATAACATTTTCTAGATACAGAATCTAATTATTGGGGGTTATACAATCAAGGTCATCTTATATTCAAGTTAATAAAGTACACAGAATTATTAGCATTATTATTTATATTATGATAGTGGCAATAATAAATAGTAGCATCATTATACATTTTATCTGCACTTGCTTTTTCATACAGTATTTATGTTTATGATAGGAAACAGTCCTTTTCCAGTCTGATGCAACTACAAAATACAACAAAAATACAGAGTATTTTGTACATGGACTAAGAAAGTACATGGCTTAAGGTATCCACAAAACAAGACAGCCAGGTTTTGAAATCCTTGTTCACTTCCGGCAGCACCTTTCTCCAAGTGGTCTCACTGTCCTTAATGGACAAGACGTTGAATAAAATATTATTCAAGAACAGCAGAAGCTTTGCAACCAGGTCCACAGGACATGACCCAGTGCTTAATGAATAAACATAATTCCAATCTCAGTGATTTAAATAGGCATTTGATAAGGCCCATTATACTTCACAGAACTTGAAGAATAAGTTTTGAGGAGAGGCTGCCCACTAACAGAGACAAAAAGAGGCAAGGTGACCAGCATACAAATCTGCAGAGGAATTGGGTTTAGGGGGTAGGTGAATATAGAGAAGGGCCATTATTGGTGAACAATGGGTTAGCTTTTCCAAGTATACAGTGAAGCTGATTAAAGGAAATCTGAAATTCCTTTATGAGCTTTTTAGTTGCTTGATGAACTTGTTCCTGTACAAGCCCTCAGTTAAACCAGATTCACATCTGCATTTGCAAGTTACTGTAATACCTCAGTAGCAGATACTGAGGTATTACAGTACCAGAAGGTAGAGTTTGAGTTGCATACAAACATTTGACCAGCACAAGTAGATTTTATTTGTTAGTTTATTTTAGTTTATTTTGTCTTAAACAGGCTAATAACCTTGCACAAAATTCTCTACTCCTCCATCTACTTTATTTCATTAATTAAAACCAAAGTTCTTTATATGGAGAAATGGGTTGCCAGAAACCAAATCAGATCATACTTCCTACAATCAATATAACATTTCTAGACAGCTACTTTTTTTTTTTTTTTATATATATATATATATATATATAAAAAATGAAGTAACAAGCTTACCTTTATACCAGGTCCTTCTAGAAATATACAAACAATCCCTCCAGAATCGACCATAGAAACGTGGATGTAACTGTAAACTAGACACAAACATTTCAAAGTCAACCTCTGACAAAATGTGCTCTTTGAGGGGAAAATCCTGGGCAGGAAGGATTCTGATGGCAGGAGAACCACTGTAGCTTTGCTGCTTGGGAGACAGATAGCGCCAGGAGCTTCCACATGCAACTGTACTCCAGGGAGCTGTCTGTGCATTGATAGGCAAGAAGTCTGGAGAGAGGACCAGCATATGGGAAAGTGGATGGTAAGATCAAGGGACCTATAGAAATAGTCCTAGATCTACTGCCCAAAACAATCTGGCAGAGGAATGTGCTACAGGAGCTCTGCCCTTGCTCAGGCTAGGATAAGAATGTAATCTTTACTTAAGAGTCTAGTATGTAGTCTGACTCCTCAGGAGCTGTTAATTTATTATCATGACCAGTGAAATATACAAGAGCCTAAATTTTCTGTTTGCAGTTATTTTAATGTGGTTTGAGCTTTGCTTGTTAGGATGAGAGTTCAATCATTTAAGGGTTCTAATAATCCATTAATACTTCTAAGATATTAAAACCCTGGCCATATTTGCAGGGCTGGTTCAATATTTTAAAATACTTTGAAGAAAAAGCTCTAGGTAAATGTTACTATTACAGATTTAGGGGGTTAGTGTTGATAACTCATAGCTTATATTGTAGATATGTCAGAAGTGAGCTCTGTTATTAATTTGGAATCATGTAATAGTAATTTTAGTAATACCTTAATTAAAATTAAAAAATTATTCTCAAAATTAATGTCAACAAAAGCTTCTAATAACGTTGCTTGGAATCATTTTACTTACGGTGAATGATGTTCATAATCTATGAATTTCAACCACCATTTCTGTTCTTCACCTGCCAACTGCAAATAGAAAAAAAAAAAAAAAAATAAGCATGAGATTTTAGCATCACATAGTCTGTAATATACCATGATGGATCACTGGCTTTTACCTCTCCCCTCTAAATTATACAGTAAGACTTCCCATGGCTTAAATGGTTTAAAAGCAGCAAGACTGGAACTTGCATTGTAAGAATCAGTACTCTTATAATTTAAATGACTTCTTGATATTAGACATAGACTATATACATTGGCAAGTCACAATTTTCTGTTCATCTTACATAGCTGTGTAAGACAGGGCCATCCAATTGGAAGCCTGGGAGCTGCATGCGGCCCTTCAGCTCCCAAAAAGTTGCCATTCCCCTGGCTGCTGCTGCTGTACTTGGTGTCTCTAGGTTTCCCCTTCCTTCCTCTGGCTTCCAATTCCTGTGCTTGCCCCAGAGGGTGGTGCAATGTAATGTGGTGCAGCACACAGTGCTAGGGAAACCCAGAGCATTGTGCAGTGGGGAAGCCCACAGCTAGCGAGCTGCAGGTCAAATGCTGGCTATGCTGCCATGTAGCAGGCAGGGTGAAAGGGGGGAGCTGCCCATGCACATGGTGGAGGAGCAGGGGGGATATTAAAAAAAAAAAAATACTGAGTACCTTCTGTTACACTCTTATTACTAAATGAAAAAAAACTTGAAAAATATTTTCTGCTACTTACTATACTTTTTATGTTTACCCATTGTTGATAACAAGATCAGTCTTGTCAGTTTCAAGTCTGAGTTCTCATATGCCAACACAGGGATTTTCAAATTTTTTCATGGTGTAGATAATATCTTAATTGTGATCTTACTGTCATCTTCACATCTTCTGCACACCTACCCTACCATTCACGAAAGTACATATCACTGGATCTTCTATTCAAGATCACCAGTGAGATTTGGGGGTGGCTCTGTTCCCCGAGGCACCACCCAGGGTTACTAGGAATAACGGTCACAAATTGTTAGAGAGAAGGTTCAGGCTGGACATCAGGAGACATTACTTTACAGTTAGGGCTGCCAGGCTCTGGAACAGGCTCCCAAGTGAGGCGGTACTCTCTCCTACCTTGGGGGTCTTCAAGAGGAGGCTGGACAGATATTTGGCTGGGGTGATATGACCCTGGCACCTATTTCTGCCCAAGGCAGGGGGTCAGACCTGATGATCTGTCTAGGTCCCTTTCGACCCTAAGCACTATGATACATAATATATCTAGTGGCAACTATAGAAATTGCAAGGCTGAAGGGGTTAAAAGGGACATTAATTCTCAAGCCAGGAGAAAACAGTGTAGTGGAGTGGAGTGATTCCAAGAATTTGACCCTTTAAACCACCAGAACTCCCAGGAAATGCGAACGTCAGTTGGCACACTGATGTAATGTTTATATTACAGGAACATAGGGGAAATTTTAGAGTAAAGATTAAAATTGTTTTAACTGCAATAAAAATTACTATCATGACAATATTTCTTTTAATTAGGGGTCAATTAGCTTTTACATAAACATAAGGTAAAGAAAAGGAAGAGGACAAGGATAGTCATCCCTGTGGCACTGTTCCCCTTTTCTTCCAACCCCAAGGAGGGTTCTCTGCGAGTCACAGGATCAATAGCTCGGGAGGACATAGGGTAGAATTGAGAAGCATCTCCTACCCTTGTACCTAGCAAAACATGCTATATTAGTGCCCTATAGGCCATAAGAAACACTTTAAACAGCGATTTTAGGGATAAGAGCTGGAAGTGTTGGCCCTAACAACTCTAATGCAGTCAGACTACTAGGGACACAGGATAAGGTGCCCAAAGCTGATCAAGTCATAGCCTTTTTGTGGATGACTTTCTCCAAGAAATCCCCCAAACTCGCATGGATTATGAAGAACTGGTAGGTCAGGCCATTAGGTTTTCCTTCCTGGGGGTCAACTACTTAAGGAGTTTTAGAGCGCTGTTGCAGGCCAGGAAGTAAGGGGGCAGTGTGCTGACCTGGCTCAGCATGGTGGGGAGGGCACAATTAATCCTATCCATCCCCAGGGCTGTCCACCCTGCACCCACCACCAGAGGCACCAGATGGAGTGGGTGGGCAGGCAGGGTCTGCAAGGAGACCAGCCCTAGACCCCTGTGGGCAGGGCATGCATGGCCAGGTGGGATGGGGCTACGGGCAGGTGGTGAGTGGCGGCCCGGACTGGGATGGGTGGGTAAGGCCAGGACTAGGATCATGGGCAGGGACATGCAGGGAGCCGAGTCTGGTCACTGCGCTTCCCCTGCCCCACCACATGCCTGGGGGTGGTGGGACTGGCTGCACATGTCATGGCCCAGACTGTTTCCCATGCCTGGGCCAGGTGGGGCCAAGGATCCACTGCAGACTGGATAGAATCCCTTGGTGAGCTGGATGCAGCCCATGGGCTCTATTTTGTGTACCCCTGCTATAAAAGAAATGCTGTAATCTTATCTGTTTTTTTTTTTTTTTTTTAAACAAAGATTCTCACAGAAGAGCGGATCATTTTGTTTATGCATACTATACACATTGCCCTCCTATGATTAAATCACAGAAACCTGCCACTGATTTCTCATATACTCCTCTCATTCTGGTAAAGCGATGTGTTGTGCCAGTGTTGGAATTCACGCATACAGTTTCTATACGCTGTTACAGTCCACAGGAACTATGGGGGGCTTATGGGATTCTTGCCGAAACAAACGTCCTGTATGGGCCTTGTAGTCCGTTATCAAAGAGATTTTAAACTTAATTATTCAAGTGATCAATTACAATAGATTAATAAAAAAAAAAAAAGACACACAGCATTTGAGTGATCTCTCCCCTTTTCAGGAAATTTAAAAAATATAAAAGGGTTATGTGGCAGCATGACAAATGAAGAGAAAAAGTAACTTTATGCTCTAAACATTGTAATGAAAACATTTTCATAATACAAAGTAACAAATTTGATTACCATATCTATTTGACTTAGGACTGCCCTTAGTTTTGTATAAGATTCCACAGATGCTAAGTCACTATCATTTTTTTCACAGTAGAAAGAAGCTTCTTGGTAGCTCAGGTGCTTGTCCAACACAAACCAATATTCAGATCCATCAATAACCAGCGATGGTCCATGAATTCCAACTGCATCTACAGAGAAAGTAACAAAAAACAACAACAAAAATCAGATTCAAGGAATTAATCCTGAAAAATTATTACACACAGAAAAGGAACATTGAACAAAGTTTGTTCTGATCCTGGGAGAGCTGATACTTGCTTCTCCTTCCAAATATTTTTGGTATTATGCACTCTGCGTGATCTACACTAACATCAGAAAGGATATTATCATAAAAAAATACTATATACACAAAACTGAAGTATATGTAAGAAGTAAATTTATTTACCTGGTATGTACCACTCTGGCATCTTTGGAGTGCTACCTGTTCCAGGAAAAATATATAATTATTGCAGGGGCATTTCACAACAAGACCTAAGCAACAAAGCATTTAAATCCCTATACCCTGTTTTTGGCAAGAAGAATTTGGAGTAAATTGGTTTTACAGTTTCCATACCCAATCTTGCATTCCTAATGGACTTACATTCATTTAAAGTAAATTGGAGTTTTGTCTAAATTAAGTAAAATGTATTATTTCTCTCCCCAGTAGAGAAACGTGCAAGCATCAAAACTCTAATAATGTCAATTCTATCCTCATGTAGATGCTAAGATTTGGCATTTTAACTAATTCATTCATTTTAATTGAATATTTCCAGTGAATCAAGAAAAGTATGGAAAGCTATTTGTCTGATCAACTGAAATTACACAAGAGAATAACACTTTTAACAGCTCACAAAACGGCAGTGTCTGTGACGCTGTACTATCCTTTTTCACTCCAACCAAAGAAACCCTTTTCTGGCTACCTTGTTACTCTGGAGAGCCTAATTACAAATTTTACTGGGATACTAGAGGTCAGTTTGGGTCTGGAGGATATAGGTTACATTTCTCAGCTGTCTATACGGTTTTCTGTACTTATAAATACTGGTTACAAATATTAAAGCACATATATGCTCAAAGTCCATGGCCTGTATCTCTCACTAGGTTAGGGTGACTATCTGCACTATGATATATTTTTTACTCCAAGGGACTTTCCATAAGAGCAAGGTAGAATTGCAAAACAGGGATGCATAGGTGCTTCCTCTTAAAATACAAATCACCACCAAAACTAAAATTTCACAAGCCTTCAGAAAGTATAATACTCACTGTTGTTTAGGCTTCAGGCCTGCACTTTTTAGGATCATAGGAAAGTAGGACTGGAAAGGACTCTGAGGTCATCTAGTCCAAACCCCCTGCTCAAGGCAAGATCAGCCCTGACTAAACCATCCTAGTCAAGCATCTGTCCACTATGCTCTTAAAATTTCCAGGGATGGAGTTTCCACAATTTGTCCATAGTCTGTTCCAATGTTTGACCACCCTCATAATCTTCAAATTATATTTCCCCTGCTGCAGCTTGAGGCCATTGCTTCTAGTCCTGACCCCTATGGCTAGGGTGAACATTTTATTTTGAAGGAATCCAGGACAGGGGGCACCACACCACCCCTTCCTTCCTGACCCAGCACAAGTGCACACCCCCTGACCCTTCATGTGCACTCCCTCCTTCCCTCCCAACCCTGTGGCTCCCAGGAACCCTGACAGCAGAACAGGGGCAGGGAAGGCTCTATCCCCCATGCACAGAGGCTGGACCCAGTGGGAGTGGCCCTCATGCTCTGCCAGCCCACATTCCAGTCACGTGGCACCTACCCCCTGCTGATGGCAGACACCCAGAGCCACCACACACCCTGAGCCTCAGCAGTGGCTGCAACAGCAAAGCACGAGACAGCTGGTAGTGGGTGGCCATCCTGGCTTGCACCGCACAGGCATCCAAGCCTCAGCCCAGGCTATCTTCGGCAGTCCTGCCCCACCCTGGCCCATCCTTGCCCCAAGAAGGAACAGCAGTGATCAGTCCAGCCTGCCCCCCACCCAGCCTCAGGAAGAGCTGGGCTGGGCATGTTTGGGTAGGGTGGTACCAACCTGGGACTTTTGCTTCAAATTTTAGCCAACCAGCTGGGACAGCCTACGAAATGCTGGACTGTCCCAACCAAACTGGGATGTATGGTTACACTACCTATAGCCACAGAGAATAGTCTAGCTCCATTCTCTTTGTAATTGACCTTCAGGTATTTCAAGACTTATCAAATCCCCCCTCATTCTCCTTCTCTCCAGACTACATAATCCTAATTATTTTATTTTAGCCTTTCCTCATAAATCAAGCTTCCCAATCCTCTAATCGTTTTTGTCACTCACTTTCCAATCTGTCCATATTATCTTGACGTTTTGGGCCCAAAACTAGACACTGTACTCCACGTAAGCTTCACCAGTGCCAAACAGAGAGGAAGAATCACTTCCTTTGATTTGCAAGAGACACTCCTGTTAGTACAACTCAGCATATACTGCTGGCTTTTTTGGCAACGTGATCCCACTATTGGCCCACAGTCAGCTTATGGTCCACTACTAGTTTATGGCAACCTAAACAATCATTCCCCAGTCTGTATTTATGCATGCAATTATTCCAACCTAAGTGCAGGATTTAGCACATGTCCTTGCTGAATTTCATCTGATTGATTGAAGACCATTTCTCCAGTCTATCCAGGTCATCCCAGGCCCTCGCCCTACCTTCTAGAGTACAACTCCATCCAACTTGGTGTCATCCATAAATTTGCTAAGTGTGCACTCACTGAATATCTTCAATATCTTTATCAACTATCTACAAGATGGGATGCAGTGCATCCTCAGCAAATTTGCAGATGACACCAAGCTGCAGGGAGTAGTAGATACATTGAAGGATAGGGCTAGGATTCAGAGACACCTAGACATACTGGAGGACTGAACCAAAAGAAAGCTCATGAGGTTCAATAAGGACAAGTGAAAAGTCCTGCATTTAGGACAGAACAATCCATGCACCAGTACAGGCTGGGGACTGATTGGCTAAGCAATAGCTCTGCAGAAGAGGACCTGGGGGTTACAGTGGACAGTAAGCTGAATATGAGCCAGCAGTGTGCCCCTGTCACCAAGACGACTAACAGCATACTGTGCTGCATTAGTAGGAGTGTTGACAGCAGACAGAGGGGAATAATCACTTCCTTCAATTTGGCACTGGTGAAGCCACATGTAGTACTGTGTCCAGTTTTGGGGCCCCCGCTACAGAAAGGATGTGGACAAATTGGATAGTCCAGTGGAGGGCAATGAAAATTGAGGGGGTGGGGGGACATGACTTCTGAGGAGAGGCTGAAGGAACTGGGCTTATCTAATTTGGAGAAGAGAAGATTAAGGGGGGGGATTTCATAAATAGCCTTCAACTACTTGAAGGGTGGTTATAAAAAGGATGGAGCTAGACTGTTCTCAGTGGTGGCAGATGACAAAACAAGAAGCAACTGTCTCAAGGTGCAGCAAGGGAAGTTTAGGTTAGATGTTTGGAAAAAACTCTCTAGCAAGGAGGGTAGTAAAGTACTGGAACAGGCTATCCAGAGAGGTTGTGAAATCTCCATCCTTGGAAATTTTTAAGACCTGGGTATACAAAGCTTTGGCTGGGATGATTTTGTTGGGGCTGGTACTGCTTTGAGCACGCAGTTGGACTAGATGACCTCCTGAGGTCCCTTCCAACACTAATTTTCCAGGATTCTATGAATCCCATCTTCCAAATCATCAATGAAGATGTTAAACCAGGGTTGTCCTAAGCAACCCACCATGACATTCCCCTGTTGCTCTCTTCTCTGACCTTTACCCAGAGGCTTTCAACAGGCCTACCTTCCACTTCATATTGCGCATTAGAAATCCAACTCCTCCCTTTTCCCTCATCTGTCCTTCCTGAACAAAAGCCATCCAAGACAGCATTCCAGTAATGTAAACTATCTGCTGACATCTCCATAGTCCCAATTATATCTTAAGTCCATGATTGTACTAGGACCACCCTCGTATAGCAAAATCCATTTCAATTTGATATAAACAGCATTACAAATGTGATACACTAGGTGTTCTTAGCCATATAAATATTAAAAGGTCAAGTCTCATTTTTGAATTCTATGGACTGTAGGTCTCAAGACTATTTTAATGTCTTTCTGAGTTACTTATTTTAAAGAGACCCTGGGTTTATTGTTAGGGCTAAAAAAAGTGAAAGAAGATGCAAAGATATTTTAAACAAAAACAATAAAATTAGATAAACAAATGGACACAAATGCAATTTACCTTTTGTTATCTGACAAACCCACTCAAGTTTAGCATCACAGTGGAAAGGTTTCAAGTAAAAATCCAATTCTTTGCCTTCATATGGATAAAATCTCCAGTACTGTCTACGCGAAATTCGAATGGTCTGCATAAGAGAAGAGATGGGAAACTGTGCTGGTAGAGTCAATACAACCCTCTGGAGTTATAATGCTGTTTATAAAAATCTACTTAATAACAAGATCATTTCCTTTTTTGCCAGTCCCAGGCAATTTTAACAGAATTTTTAAAATGATAAAATACAGCATTACCCCCAATGCCATCTGAGCTGAGGAAGCAATCAATTTAAAGTGTGTCCTTTTATGGACATCTGTTCTTGAAAATGACTACAGGTTCTTTTTTTTTAATCTACATCTCCTCTGTGTTATCACAGAGTAATACAGTATAATTTACTGCGCTTCAAATGACGCACAATTCTACCCAGAAAGAAAGATATGACCTGTCCCAGAAATTATTCCTTTTAACATAATCAAGAGATAACACGCAATGCTGTGTGGAGTTTTGTACTGTTGGCAAGGCCATCCATGGCAGCAAGGTTAAGAGTGAGGTTTGCAAGATGTATAGTGATCCAAAAATAAGAAAGTCCTCAATGGTGGAGTAAGTGGATGAAGAAAGAATACTTCACAATGGCCACAAAAGTGAATGAAGGCTGCAGTGGTGTAGAAACTCCTGGTTACCTAGGTTTTCCTTGCTGTCAGATTAAGGTTGCCTTCCCAAGAAGTACCGTGTGACTGTTGATCCACAACATCACCCCCACATTTAAAGATGACATGCACAGCTGTCTTCCTTTAATAGCCACTTCTATGGTGATGGAGGAAGGTCCTAGTGATTACCAGAAGCCCCTAATCATGGATTTGTGTGGAGGCGATGATTGCATGGTGGTCATTTTGTACTTGGAACTGAGACAGGATACGATTCAGCAGCTGTAGTCACAGTTGAGCAAGCCTAATTAGGGTCTACTCTCCTTACCCTGTATGGGGAGGGGGACCTAAACATAGTCCATCTCTGACTGGAAAACTGCAAGTAGTGGGAACGCTCTATCTGCAGTCCAAATCAAGTAATGAAGTTTGTAACTGGGACAACCATACCCTTATGGACAAGCCTAATAGGGAATGAGTGGACTGAAGGATAACACTCACGGCCAGAGAACTTGCTTAATTTGATACTGACATTTCTGCACTTAGTGAGACCAGACGCACAGAAGAGAGGCAGCTCGCAGACTATGGTGGTAGCTATGCTGCTGCTGCTTTTTTTTTTTTTTTTTTTTAAATGAAAAGCCAAAAAAACAGACACATCCATGACATTACTTATACCATCAAGACCAAGATAGCTACTCAGATGTCAGTGTCTGGCTGGCATCACTAAGCATCTCATGATCCCAGCCTCAAACCTGGGCCTCAGCCTGGCAGCACAGCTACTCAACTCAGCCTGCCACCCCTCAGCTAATCACTCCAACTGGTCAAGGGCAACTTAAAGCCTCCAGTAGGGCCTAAGACTGCCTACTCCCTGCCACCTGAGTGGCCAGCTGGGTTTAAATAACCTTCCACTTCCAGCATATAAATTCCTGACCTAGAACAGGAAGCATCAGGGCAATAGGGCTTAACTTGACTGAAGATCACTTCACTGCTCCCCCTGGCTTGTGATCTCCGATTCCACTTTCTGCTTGATCTCCTGGCTCCTCAACCCAGCTTGCTCTCCAGCTCTGCTCTCCGATTAACCGCCCAGCTTTTTCACCCAGCTTGCTCCTGAACCTTGCTCTGTGTGTGGCAGGGCACTTCGGAGTGCTGCTATTTTAAAAGGCCAGGCAGCCTGCAAAAACTGCTAGAAGGTACAGGCCAGGGCTAATGGGGGGGGGGGAAGGTCAGCTGACCCAGGGAGCTGGCAGGTATAAGTTCAGGCCCTGAAAGAAGCTGGGAGTAATATCTTGGAGCCTGCTGAGAAAACATCTCCTCAAAGTGGCTGCAGCCCCAGAAGGCCATCTTAGAGAGAACACCGAAAGCAGTTTGGAGGTTTGGGGAGGAACTGAAGGGAGGAGGAGGATCCTAGGGATGAAGGGAGGGGTCCAGAGCGTAGTGAGAGGCTGAGAGTGAGGGACCAAAGAAGGTCCAGGAACCCCAGAAGTGGGTTTAAGTGAAAGAATGGCATCTGTGAGGAATGGCATGAAGGATGGCATCTGTGAGGAATGGGGCATGGTGTAAGGGAGGAACGGAGCCATGCAATTAGCTCATAAGGCAGAGACCACATGCACCTAGTAGTCATTTAAAAGAACAATTTAGGAAGCCCTGGAGCAGCCTCCCTCATTAAAATAACAAGCATCAAGGTGTGGTGGGTGACTAGAAGGGGTGATTGCCTACACTCTAAGGGCTGCAGAGACCCCAGGGGCTTCACAGCCATCCCCTGTTGAGGCACTCTACCAAACTCAACTCATCTCTTAATTCCTTGAGCTTGCTTGCTCTTGGACATTGTTCTCTGTTTCATCTCCCAGCTTCTTGACTCTGCTTGTTCCTAGACCCTACTCTTGGATTGATCTAATGGCTTCTTGACCTGGTCCAACCTCAGATTCTGCTCGCCCATCCTGACTTTCATCTCCAAATGGTCCTAGACCTAACTTCCCATGTCCTAGTATGACACTGAGTAACACGCAACATACAACAATCATTAGTGCATATAGCTCAATGCAGACGATGAAACAAAAGGAACGTTCTATTCGAAACCTGGGCAAAGATGACAAGATTATTATTTTTGACAATTTTAAAGCTAAAGTGAACAGGGACTTTGAGCTATGGAATGAAACACTTAGAAGGGAAGGGGTGGGGAAAGTCAACTCAAATGGAAGTCTTCTCCTAAGCTAATGGAACATGATCTCATCATCATGAACTCCTTATTCTGCTAAAGCAGTAAATGGAAGACATGATGAATCCACCTCCACTCAGAACAATGGCACTTGCCTATGTCATAATGGCACCTGGGACCATCACAACAGCCATACCATCAGAGCTATGACCAGTGCAGTTGACTGCTTGATGGATCGTCACCTGATATGGTTAGTCATGTCCTTTCACATCACCCCAAAATGATGTAAACAAAATAAGCTATCAAGGAAGAGGTTCAATCTTGATAGAGGTTCAAACAGTGATCTCCAGCAGTGCCACAGTGAGCAACTCTAGCCTCCCTGATGGTCTTAACACTACTTGCTCGCTGGGAAAACCCTCATGAGGTGTGAAAGACTCTCTAGGTTTCTCCACAAAGAGAGACCAGGACTGGCTCAGTGAAAATGATAGGGAAATTCAAGCTCTGACAGAGTAGCTTTCAAAACTTGGCAGAATTACATCAACTGTAAAGCAGATTAAGAACAACAAAGCAAGTGGTACTTATGTAATACAAGATGAAACTTATAAACAAAGCAGAAAGCAGCTCTCTTACCAACTGCTTGCTTTTATTTTGAAGATCTGGAACACAAACAGATTCCTAGTGACCTGAGAAATACCAAAATTGTTACCACACCAAAGAGAAGAGATAGAACAGGTTGCAGCAATTATTATGGTATTGCACTCCTGTCCATAGCTGGGAAGATTCTTGCCTGCATTTTCCTCAATAGATTCACTTTCCTGGCTGAAGACATTCTACCCGAGTCCCAATGTGATTCCAGACCATTCATACCTACAATAATTGTTGTTGCTAGACAGCTGTAAGATAAGTGTTGCGAGCAACATGAAGATCTTTACATGGGACTTGATTCAGGTCAACAGACAGACCTCATGGAAGATCCTGACAAGATCTAGATACCCGTCAAAATTTGTTACCAGAGTCCTTCACGACAACATGACAGCAACCATCCTAAACAATGGCTTGGACACAGATCCTTTCATTATTACAACTAGAGCCAAGCACCAACATTCTTTTCTATCTATATCACAGTTATTTCACATTTCATTACTGATAGGCTTCTATCTGGGTCAGAATCCAGTAATCACAAGGACAGGAGTCAACCAAGATAACCAACACCAAGATAACTAATGCCTGCATTACTGATCTTCAATATGCTGACAATTGTGTAATGTGTGCCCACTCAAATTGAAGAGCTCCAGGTTACTCTTGATTGCTTCTGCGAAGGATGCAAAATGCCTGGACTTACTATCTCACAAAAACCAAGATCCTTTACCACCCCACCTCAAGCCAAGCAGCTGATCTCCGAATATTCAGCATTTCCCCTACCTGGCTAGCTACCATTCCTGAAAAGTAAATATAGATGATGATACTCAACACTAGATAAAGTCTGCCTAGCGCTGCCTTTGGACTAAAATAATGTCTTTGATCATCATAACATCAGGCCCCAAACCACACTTTTTGTCTATTAATATTTCTACCATGCTGTATGGGTGTGAAATCTGGACAACATTTTGGAAACACCTGAACGCTTTGGAATGTTACCACCAATTATGTCTTTGGAAAATCCTCTGCATCAATTGGAAGGACGGAATAAATGCCAGCATTCTGGCTCAAGCAAACTTTTACCAGCACTAAAGCCATGTTTACATGGCACCAGCTCCAATGGACAGGACATGTTGTAAGGATGCCTGACAACCAGCATCTCAAAACAGGTCCTATACTTCAACTTACCAATAGTCATCTCTCTAGGAGTGAGCAAAAGAAGAGATTTAAGGACATTTTGAGGGCCAATATGAAGAAATTAGATATTAACATTGACAGAATATTAATGATGTTGGAAACTCAAACACTGAATTACCCGCAATGGTGCCATAATATATATTAAGGTATCAGTCACTCAAAGCAAACTTGCCTCACAATGGAGGTAGACAGATGAGAGAGACAAGGGGAAAGAGCTGTGACCCAACATTACCAGGCCCCACTCCTTCCTCCCGGAACTATTTGCAATGTCTGCAGTTGAATATGAGGATCTGATTGGTTTCTTCAGCCATCTCCAGACTCACTGAAGACTCCCTATTTATTAGAAGAGTGTCACCCTTGAATCAAGGGACTGCCGATGACAGTATCATACTTAGTACAAATTTTCTGAGCAAGTGGCAAAACTTCTGTTTTGTGAAGATGAGAGTTTGTAGATTAACAAAAAGAAACGTAGCAAGTTTTTACTGCATATCACTATGAATACACTGCAACTGTCAGCCTAAACTTAATATTTATACCACAAAAATCTTTTCAAAATGACTAGGACTTTCACTTATAAATACATTATAACAGTCTTGAAACTAACCTTTAATGCAGCACAGTCTCTAGTATCATAGACATCTTCTTGGTAATCAAGTGGCATAACAGTGGTCACCTACAGAAAGTACAGAATGACAGAATTGTAACGTCATCATTATTATTTGTACTGGGGTAGTACTTGCAAGTCCCAGTCAGAATTGAGTCCCCATAATATTGGGCAACTTTCAAACAAATAGAAAGATGCTGAGAAAACTTATGGAGCAACCTTGCAAAGATATACGAGTGAACTTAACTTTATAGATATACACCACTCTAAGATAGTTACTGGAGAGGTGTGAACACACCAAGATGCTTAGACTGAGAATATGTAGTGTACCTATGAATTATATCTGTAGTTACATATACATTGTAACAGGAGGCCCCTACCCTCTGTTATTTTGAGAGAGGAAAGAGACAGAGTACTGGGGCCACCAGGGAGAAATAGGAAGCCATTGGGGAAAAAGACCTACTTGGAACAAGATGGAAAAGGGAATAGCCTACAGGGGCTGGGCTCCAGACAGTATGTTAAAGAGGGACTGCAGCAGAGCTGAACAGGCTGCCTGATTAGGAGAAGTTGGCCGTAGAGTTGAGAGCTTGCTAACTGAGAAGCAGGCTGCTGACAGAAACCTACAGATTGCTTAATGAGAAACTCATGTCTGGCATTGTGAAGCAGGGGTCAAGTAACCAGAAGGGGGTGTAGTTTGGAAATGTATAGGGTTGGACTGTAGGTGAGAGAGTCATTCTGGTCCTAAGAACTGCAGTAAGATGAGCCCTTGTGAGACCAGGCTGAGATAATGAGATCCACAGAAAGATTAGGTACCCCAGGT